TAAAAGTGCCATGGACTGCCAAAAGAACCAATAGATCTGTTTTGGAGAAGTGCAACCAGAGTTCTCTTTAGAGGTCAAGATGGCCAAACATCGTCTCTCATACTTTGGACATATTGTCAGGAGGGACCAGTCGCTGGAGAAGGATATCATGCTGGGTAAGATGGAGAGTCGGAGAGAAAAAGGAAACCCCCAATGAGATGGATTGGCCAGGTGGTGGCATTGATGGACTCAAGTGTGGCAGCTTTAGTGAGGTTGGCCCAGGATTGGACATTGCTTTCTTCTGCTGTTCATGGGGTCACTGTGAGTCGGTTCTGACTCGATGGCACCTAACAACAACAATTTTCTAACATGGAGAATCTGATCATTCATGTGTATGTTGTTTTGATTATAGTAGAACCAGACAGGGATCCTTAAGTCAGAGATAGAGTATAGTTGAAGATCAAAGTGTAGCTTTTAGACCTGTTCTCACCAGCATGAACCAATTCTTCCCAGAGTATTCATCCATGAGTTCTAAAAATTGACATTGAATGCCCAATCTGCTAGGTATTCTTCTAGGTGCTGGGGGCTTCATAAGGGAGGAACACTGAGAAAAGATACCAGGCCCTCCTATCAGATGTTACTGGATGCTTTAGAGAAAGGTAAAGCAGCAAATGAAGCTAGATAGTTCCATGATTGGGATAGGGGTGTGATTTTAAATATGGTAGTTAGTGAAAGTTTTGCTAAAAATTGAAAGTTTAGCAAATACTGAAGGAAGTGAGAAAACAAGCAGGCTTGAGGTTGGAGCCTACTTTTCATTTTTGAGGACCAACAAGGAAGGAGCTGAGCAAACAAAGCTGAAAGTCTAAAAACTAACAGGTGTGTGTGGGTAGATAGTTGTATGGACTTGATATTTAATTCTAAGTGTAATTGGAAGATACCTGTGGGTTTTTAACAGAGCTGTAACCAATCTGGCTTATAATTTTAAAAGAATCATTTTGATGGTATGTGGAGAAGAAACTGTAGGGGATGAAGGCAGAAGCAGGGATACTCTCATCATCATCTAGATGTGAGATGATGGTATGAGCCATTGAAGTAGCACCTGCAGTGCTGAAAAGCCAGTATGAGCCTATAGTATTTCTTCATTGATTAAAGTGAGTGCAAAGGAGATGATATTTCCAGCCTGACCCTAAAAAGATGAAATTGCTATTTGAAAAGGGTGATTTTGGAAGGCTGTGGTATATAAACTAAGAACATCTAATGACTGTGGACAGATTAAACCAGTGGAGATTTATATGAAAGTAACTTTGCCAACATTCTCTTTCAGCATCCATGAGTTTTTGACCACTTGTCAAGATTACCCATATGTTATGGCAGATAGTTTATTGGATACGTTAACAAAAGGAGGGCATTCTCAGACCCTACAAGAGTTGGAGATGGTAAGAGCCCTGCTCAAGAAGCAGGGTAATTTATTATTGACTCTCAAGTATTAATCTCAATGTTTATGAAACCTTGGTATGACAGATGTTTCCCTGAAAAGACAGCCCAGCATGGATGAAAACTATGGGTGAAAAACAATGAATGAAAGTAAGTAAGTTGGCTCTCAGGATCTGAGAAGGCTAGAAGATTATCATTATTTCCTCATCTTAGGAATACAGTAGGATTCAAAAATAGAGTTTACAGCTCAGAAGTCAGTGAGTGCTGTGCTAAGTGCTATCAAGTTGGTTCTCTTATCAACCCTATATAGGGTTTCCGAGGCTATATAACTTTGCGAGAGCGGAGATCCTCATCTTTCTGCTGCAGAGCAGCTGGTGGCCTCAAACAGCTAACTCTGTGGATCGCAGAGCCACTATACTGAAATCCTATGTGCCCTAACAAAAAAGGAAAGTGAAGTGATTAAACTCGTTAGAAATATCATCTAAAGTGATAATGGAATTGTCACTTTATTTATGCAGCAGTGAACTTTAAAAAAGTTAAGATTTACCTTTTTTTTTTTTTTGCTGTCTTCTATTAATAAACTATGAATAGATTAAGTTGCTGTTCGAGTTAATTTATAAACTGGACTCATTCAGAATCTTGACTAAGAGATTACTGTTGTTGTTGTGTGCCTTCAAGTTGGTTATAATTCATAGAGACCTTAAATAGGGTTCAAGGTTTTAAATGTTTACTGTAGCAGAGAGCCTCATCATTTTCTTGCAGAGCAGCTAGTGGGCTCGTGGTTTGCAGCCCAGTGCTTACCTTATGGAGCTATTGTGCTCCCTGGCTCAAAGATTTGAAGCAGATAATGTTTCTGCTGATGTCGTTGAGCACTGTTAACTGGAGTGCCCTTGTCACCATAGTCAGAGGAACTCTGGAGCTTGGAGGTCATAACTCTTCATGGTCACTATAACAGCCATGTGCTGTGCTCATAATTACATATGGTTACCATTTCTTGTGACCTGTCAACAAAGCTCAGGTTAGTATTTAAGGCTAAGTGTTAACTGCTATGAAATCTTACCACATGGGCTTGTTTTTTCACATATTTCAAAGTATATTAAATTGTACATGTATTCAAAAATCTATCCTTTTCATTAATCTGACTTGTCTTTAACCAAAACTGAATATCCTTTATTTGATTAATATGGTAGTATGTCTCAAAATTTAAAGTTTCTCTGCCCTTTGCTCAAGAAGTTCCTCTTCTTTGAATTATCATAGAGAATAAGAGTTATATGTATGTTATTGTTAAGTGTTATAGAGTAGATTTTGACTCATAGAGACCCTGTACAGGATTTTCTGAGTCTTTAAATCTTTGTGAGAATAGAAAACATCATTTTTTTCTTACTGAGTGGCTGGTGGGCGCGAACTGTCCATACTCCATATCATATGGAGTAACCACAGTCTACTGATAATGATAATGATAAGGATATCATGATAACATTATTTATATTAAAATTGGGAAATAGTTAAATTAATCACAGTACACTGTTCAAAGTAAGATAGTAGATAATTATTGATTGATGCCCATGATATATTTATTATAATATCCTGTATGATAAAATGTCCATGATATATTTATTTTGGGAAACATTTTAGATTCTTAGTAATATTTGAACATTTTTAATAATCCTATGTTAATGTAAAAAGTCTCTGGAGTTCTGCCTTCCTTTCTTCTAGTTAGAGCCAACTTGTATTGAAAACAGACTCTATTTATGTAGGTATTTATCAGATACTGCAATAAATATATGCATAACTTTATGATCAGGCATAGAAATATCAATTTTGAAGTAACTAGTAAAGTGGGTACTTCTGACTTAACAGACTTACAAAATGACAGTTAAAAATAACTGTCAGCACCAGAATATTGATTACTGAAACACGATGAAGAGAATACAGTGCTGTAGGTTGAACCCCTCCCCAGGCTGGAAGGCACTCAAAATATGACTGGGAAAAAACTTTCACCTCAAAGTAGAGAGTTAACCATGATGACATGAATAGATTAAAGCCTCTAGGACTTTCCTTCACTGATGGAGCACAACTCAAAATGAAGAGGAACAGCCGTAAACATCCATTAATAATCAGAACATGTGGAATGCATAAATTATGAATCTAGGAAAATTGGAAATTATCAAAAATGAAACTTAAACACATAAACATTGATTTCCTAGGCATTCGTAAATTGAAATGGACTGGTATGGGCCATTTTGAATCTGACAGTCATATGGTTTACTATGCTGGGAATGACAGATTGATGAGGAATGGCATCACATTCATCATAAAAAAAAAATACCAAGGTGTGTCTTGAAGTACACCACTGTCTGTGATCGGATAATATCCATACGCCTACAAAGAAGACCAGTTAATACCACTATTATTCAAATTTACCCACCAGCCACTAAAGCCATTGATGATGAAATTAATCAGCTTCTTCAGTCTGAAATTGATCAAACATGCAGTCTAGATGTAATGATAATTACTAGTAATTGGGATACAAAGGTTGGAAACAGGAAAAAGATCATCAGTCACAAAACATCAGTAGTCATAAAACATGGCCTTGGTGTGATAGAAATGATGCTGGAGATTGCATGATAGAGCTCTGTAAGACCAGTGACTTCTTCATTGCACACACCTTTTTTAAACAACATAAAAGATGACTATACATCTGACCTTACCAGATGGAATATACAGAAATCAAATTGACCATATCTATGGAAAAAGACAGTGATAAAGCTTCATATCATCAACTAAAACAAGACCAAGGGCAGACTGTGGAACAGATCATCAATTCCTCATATGCCAATTCCTCATATGCAAGTTCAGGCTGAAAGCTGAAAATTTTTTAAACAAGTCCACGAGAGCCAGAATATGACCTTGAACATATCTTACCTGAATTTAGAGATCATCTGAAGAGATTTGATACATTAGACACTAAATTCCGGAGACAAAAAGAGTTCTGTGATGACATCAAGAAAATCATATAGGAAGAAAGCTAAAGGTCAGTAAGAAGACAAAAAAGAAGGAAAAGACCAAATTGGTTATCAGAAGAGACTTTGAAAGTTGTTCTCTAGTCTAGAGATGCTAAAGCAAATAGAAAAAATGAGGAGATAAAAACGGAACAGAAAGCATCAAAAGTCAGCTCAAGAAGACAAAGTTAAATATTATTATGAAATATGCAAAGACCTGGAATTAGAAAATGAAAAGGGAAGAACACACTCAGCATGTCTCAAGCTGAGAAAACTGAAGAAAAAAGTCAAGGCTTGACTTGCAATATTGTAGTATTCTATTGGCAAAATACTGAAATACTGAATGATGCAGAAAGCATCAAAAAAAAAAAAAAAATGGAAGGAATACACCGAATTACCGTACCTAAAAGAAATGGTTGATATTCAACCATTTCAAGAGGCAGCAAGCATATGATCAAGACCCAGTGATAACTGATGGAAGAAGTTCAAGGTGCATTGAAGGCATTGGCAAAGAACAAGGCACTGGGAATTGATGGAATACAAATTGAAATCTTTCAACAAACTGATGCGGCGATGGAGACACACGTTTATGCCAAGAAATTTGGAAGACAACTACCTGGCCAACTGACTGGAAAAGATCTATTTGTGCCCATTCCAAAAAGAAGTGATGCAACAGAATGCAGAAATCAGACAATATCTTTCATATCCCATGCGAGTAAAGTTTTGCTAAAAGTAATGAAGAAATGGCTGTAAACATACATTAACAGAGAATCCAGAGGTTCAAGCTGGGCTCAGAAGACGACATAGAATGAGGGATATCATTGCTGATGTTTGATGAATCTTGGCTGAGACAGCGAATACCAGAAAGATGTTTACCTGTGCTTTGTTGACTTTGCAAATTATGTGAATCATGACATGCTATGGACAACATTGCAGAGAATGAGTATTCCAGGACACTTAATTGTACATAAATCAAGAGGCAATTGTTCAAACAGAACAAGGGAGTACACATAATGATTTAAAACTAAGAAAGGTGTGCACCAAGATTGGATTCTTTTACCATTCTTATTCACTCTGTATGCTGAGCAAATAATCTGAGAAGCTGGATTATATGAAGATAAACATGGCATCAGGATTGGAGGAAGACACATTAACAACCTGCAATATAAAGTTGATACAACCTTGCTTGCTGAAAGCAGAGAGATCCTAAAATACTTGCTGATCAAAAATCAAAGTCCACAGCTTTCGGTATGGGTTGCACCTCACTGTAAAGACAACAAAAATACCAATAAACAGCATCCATATAAATGGAAAAAAGATTGAAGTTGTCAATGACGTCATTGTCCTCAGATCATCCATAAACACTCATGGAAGTAGTTGTTAGGTGCCATCGAGTGTGGGTACCAACTCATAGCAACCATATATAAACCAGAATGAAACACTGCCCGGTCATGGGCCAACCTCACTATTGCCATGCTTGAGCCCATTGATGCTGCAACTTTGCCAGTCCATCTCGCTGGGGGTCTTCCTCTTTTTCTCTGACCTTCCAAACATGATATCCTTCAGTGACTGGTCCTTCCCGACTATATATCTGAAGTATGAGAGACGAAGTTTGGCCATCCTGGCCTCCAAGGAGCACTCTGGCTGCACTTCTTCCAGCACAGATCTGTTGGTTCTTTTGGCAACCATGGCACTTTCAGTATTCTCCAGTAACTCAAAAGCATCAATTCTTCTATGGTCTTCCTTATCCACTGTCCAGCTTTCACATGCATATGAGGTTATTGAAAATACCATAGCTGGGGTCAGGCACACCTTAGTCCTCAAGCTGACATCATTGCTCTTCAACACTTTAAAAAGTTCTCATGTAGCAGAGTTGCCTAATATGTTATCTGACTTCTTGACTGCTGCTTTGATGAGTTTGATAGTTGATCCAAGAAGCATGAAGTCCTTGACAACTTCCATCTTTTCTCAATTGAGAAGAATGTTATCTATTGGTCCAG